TTACAAAACTTCATCACAACCTTACAAAGTAAGTCAACTTACCCAGCTTTACAATGAGAAATCTGAGGTCCAGAGACAGTAACATATCTCAGGTCACACAACTAGTAAGGGACAAAGCCAGGATTCAAACTCAGGTCTGCCAGGATTCAAACTCAGGTCTGCCAGGATTCAAACTCAGGTCTGCCTGACTTGGAATCCCACGTGCTTTGCATTACTTTAAGTAAACCGTATAGTATGGCTCTATCTTGTAATCAGCAACTTAAGGTGTGCCTTTACAAAGATCAGGGAAGAGGGCAGGGAGGGAGGGTGGGTGGGGAGGAAGTTGCTCTGCAAGAAGACTTAAGACTCAGTACACACCCTCCACCCCTGAGCAGCCCACTCAGGCCACTGAGGCAGAAGGCTGCTTGGGTACCATGTGGAGGTGGCTTTAGGCTGAGTTCTAGAGATACATGTTGATGGCTGAGCTCATTGAGTTAATTAATGAATTAATGAAAGACAAACAATAGGCAGAAGTTGGAAATACTGGATGATACTAGAGTACATCCAAGTACAAACCTCAGCGTTAGACTTGGGGCAAGTTATTTAAATTCTGTGAGCCTGTTTCCTCCTCTGCAAAAAGGGGATAATGGCATTCACCTCAGAGGATTTTAGTGATGGTTAAATGACTAATGCATACAAAGCGCTTAGCCCAAAGTGCAGAGCCCAGCACATAGAGTGAATGCCCAACCATTTGTGCAATTCCAATCATTATCATTACTACCACTATTACTATTATTACCACGAGGGATTGTAGCCCATTTGCATAAGGAACTCATGGAAACACTAGTGTGATTCCTTTCATTCCTATACCAGGCCCTCAGACTATCCTCTTGTGATTCATTTTTCTCCTTCAGGGTAACCTGAGGAATTTATTTTCTCCTTATTTTACCAGGAAGAAAATGTTGAAGGGAGATTTGCCTGAACCTCAAAATTCTGGTCATAAACCTGGACCTGTGGTCTCCCTCCCAGGCCCCAGACACACATACCCTGAGCTGCAGGGGGACACTTGGAGGGAGGGAATCCCCCCACCCCCCCACCCCCCACCGCATGGAGCCCTGTGGTTTGGCTGGTGTCCAGGGGGTGGAGCCAGAGACTTGCTGGCCGCCTCCCTGATGAGGATTATCAGCTCGTCCAGGTGGGCGGGAGGCCCCGCTGACACCTGCACAGCTTTCTGTGTGTTTTATTGGTTTTTAAAATTCTGTGCTCATAGAAGTGAACCAGAGTTCCCGTGATTTCTGTCATCACAGAACAAGCCACAAAAATGAAATTTAAGAAAAATGGGGAAGAAAGGGATTTCTCACTTGAATTTTAGATTCCTCTGCTGTGTAGTGTTTGCCTCCTGACTTTTAAAGGCAGCAGAGTTTGTCCCGGGATTCTCACCTGGAAAGGGGGACAATTCCAGAGGAACATTTATATTTTTGTTTTCCTCCTCACTGGGGACAAGGGCAGGTTGGTTTCCAGAAAACAACTTGTGGACCCCGGTTCTCCCCCACGTTCGCACCACACTCTGCAAGGCTTTGCTGGATTCCTACACCTGTGCAGAAGCCACGTCAAGTCTGAGAGAACATTCCACCCCGGGAGCTGATACTTAGCTCCAGAGTCTACTGTGTAGCAACGTGTCTCTCAGTTTTTAGTTTGAGTGACACTTGTTGATCCTTTTCAGTTACAAATCTTCCCCAGAATATCTCAGGGTAGAGGAAACAGCACCGGGAAGACAACAATGAGCTTGAGCAGGATTGCTGCTGGACAAAGACCTGGGAACCCGCAGAAACGATGGCAAAGCTGCTGGCACCCAATCAAGAACAGAGACAGACAGACAGAAGGCACGGGACAGGGGGCCATTTGCTTGGCAGTACTTTGGCCCTGGTGCCTGAAGTGGGAGGAGAAAAAAAGCAGCACAGATACGCAGAGTGGGTTCTGAGTATCAAAGTGCTGGGTGCCTCCCCCAGCACCCTCCTCCTAAGCACCTCCCTTTTAATAGAGCCCAGCAGGGTTTTATCAGCCAGTGCCTTCTGCCCAGGAAGCCAGCTGCAGTGTGAGTACTCTCATCTCTGTTCATTTCTAACTGTTCCTTGTCGGGGGGTTGTCTTCTTAGACCTAATTTTTGCTCTTTTTCGCTTTTCTTTTTTTAATGGAGAAATATATTCAGATGATTGGAACTGAGTAAAAGCAGCAAAGACAGAGTTCTGGTATACTAGAAAGCCATTTACCCAAACCATGGGCTTCTTCCTGGACGCTTGCAAGCAGCGTCTTGGTTCATGGTTTCTACAGCAGGTGGATCAAACTACAGCATGGTTTCTTCCACCGGAGTTCGTGTGGAAGAGGGTTTCAGCAAGGAGTCCACTTGAGGTGCTAAAGGACTCAGCTCACCGACGCTCTATAGGAGTTTCAGGCTGTGTTTTTGAAATAAGTAAAATTGGAGATGTATCAATCCGACTCAAAAAAAAAAAGTGGGTACTGGGAATGACCCTTTCCAACTATGGTTTTATGTGCTGTCGTGCTGGAGGGAGAGTGCTGGAACACCCATTGGGAGAAAGAATCAGTCCCACTACAGGCACGAATCTGGCAGCTTCTTTGCAGCTACCCTTTCTGATGTGGAATTCAGACCTCAAGGCTTCTAGGGGAGTGTGTTCTGAAGAGAGAAGTGTTTTAATCAGGAGACAGGATAGCTGACAGCAGTTTCTTTGTTTCTGATTACAGCTTTAGAGAAACCTGAGCACCTCCCACCGCTTAGAATCAAAAACTACCTAAAATAAAGATTACTGTAAGTATCAGATAAATGTCAATGCTGAAAATTCTCTTATGTATGATAGAGCATGAATCTTTATATGCTTTCTTCTATATCTATATCCAAAACTTTGTATTATTTGTAAAAGTGATACTTGAGGCATAGAAAATTAACAACTTTCAGGGCTCTCTAATTGTACAAATTTCTAATGTATGTTGACAATAGAATGAGCTGTACTTCCTGTAATAAAACAAGGAATGTAGTTGAGCTGAAATCTTGATTTTTCAGAATGATGAGTACTGCTTTGTTGTACTAGTGATCTGGGCTATGAAAAGTGCTTTCTAACTCCTGCTGTAAGCTCATCGGGTGCAGCTTCCAGAACATTCTTGGGATGTTACCTTCAGCACATATAGGCCTTGTTGTAGATATGTCAGCGATGCAGGAGAGTGAGGCTTACTTTGAGGCACAGTGAGATGTTTGTCAGGAGAGTCACTGCTTCGGGCAAGGGCATGGGGTGAAACCAGACGTAGCAGAGCCCTTTGCTGCTGTGCAACACTCCCTCCCCAGGGTTATGTCAGGGAGGCCACGAAGGCTGTGTCTAGTGTGTCACTGAGCCCTAATGCCCCTTGCATCCCAGCATTCAGAAGCTGCTCCTTCACTGTGTGTTGACTTGAATAGAATCTTGGGGGCATCAATGTGTGTGGCTCCAGCCCGGAAGACGAAGAGCCACCAGGGCTTACCTATTCCATAAGGCTGACCCTGCTGAGTGAACGTGGATGGTCTCCACTCTGGACCCCAGTTTTCCCTTCTATAAAATGAAGCCTCAAATTATATGCTCTCTCAACTTTTTCTCTCTCTCTCTCGGCTAAGGAAATATCGTTGTTGAGCTCAAGGTTGTCATTCTCCAAGACGTGGTGATTTTGGTGGTGGGGAAATGTAAAAGGGGAATGTAACAGTCCTACCTGTCTCTTTCTCTCCTTTTTTTGTTTGTTTTGTTTTTGTTTTTGTTTTTTTTTGCGGTACGCAGGCCTCTCACTGTTGTGGCCTCTCCCGTTGCGGAGCGCAGGCTCCGGACGCGCAGGCTCAGCGGCCATGGCTCACGGGCCCAGCCGCTCCGCGGCATGTGGGATCTTCCCAGACCAGGGCACGAATCCGTGTCCCCTGCATCAGCAGGCGGACTCTCAACCACTGTGCCACCAGGGAAGCCCTCTTTCTCTCCTTTTTATTTCATTCATTCTTTCTTTTTTTTAAAGTTGTGTATGAGTGCCCTACAGTTGGGTTTCTGCATGTTGTTCTTTATCAAACAAAAATATACATAATGCAACCCACTGGTCAGGTATTTGCCAGATTGTTTAACCATGGATAAACATACACATACACAGTTTTTTCCTAAGAAATGTCAGTAATATTTTCCACGGTTGTGGATTTTTCTGAGTCACTCTAGTAGAGTGTAAATTTTCAGATTTCAAACCAAGCCAGTAGAAGAAAATAAAAATTAAATAAAAGAGGAAGAAAAAAAATAAAGAAATACCACACATACGACTTTCCTGGGACCTCTGAAGGAAGAATACTATCCTTGGATGTGATGGAATTTTTTTTTTAATAAAAAAAAAAAGGAAACAAAAAGTTGCCACACTTGTTGAATTCAACTAAGAATTGTTTCTTATAAACAAGGCGATGTCCAATTTTTAACAATTCCTAGTCAGATACAAGGAGGGGGAAAATGCCATTTAGCAGTTTCTTAGACTGGGCTTTTGCTATGCATACAAAGTGTGGCTAGCATCTTATCACAGAAAATAGAACCCATACCAGGCCTTCTCCTCACATTTGTAAAGATCAAGGCTGAGGGAATTTGTGGCATTGGCTTTGACCCCCAAGATGGAGCCCTGTTTGCCTGAAGTGTTTCAGAGCCTGAGCCCACCCCTCCTTTTGGAACAAGCTTCAGATCTGTCAACTTCCTGATAGTGGAGAAACGCAGCAGAACAAAACGTATGCATAGGTCTCTGTGCAGGATGATTTGCCATATTTTTCTTTTGTTCTAAGTGAAGTAAAATGAACATTCAATGTCTGCAGTCAGCTCATCATCTCTCTTTGCTGATGGAGCTCTTGTTTATGGAGAAGTTGGCCTTCTCTGTTAATATCTCCTCTCCCCAGGAACTCTCTGGGAGAGCTCCTGCCTCTCTCTACCTTGCATTTCACACCACAACCAGGGCACAAATCCTGCTGATTCATCTATTTTTGCCCTTTGTCATGTATGGAAAGAAAGGAAGGATGAATGGACGGTCTTTGATTGGCGCCGCTGGTGACGCCCCTCCTGGTCCTCTTTGGAGGGACCCTTTTGGAAAAAAAGCTGGTGAGGCAGCACGCAGAGGCTTCCCCTGGCTAAGCTTGGCCCTGGCCCATGGGCCACCAGAACAGGTATGCTACCTTTGTGCAGCTTCTCTCTGTGACTCTGCTGTGTCTTTTCTGAACAGAGCCTGGGAAGTGGGTCCTCATGCTCTGCTGAGCAGTGCAGCTTGGGCTGAGCCAGATGCACAGGGGTCTTGGTCAAGAAAGTCACAAGACACTCATCTGGGGTTGGATGCTGGACCTTTGTGCTGCAGAGTTTTGACAACCATGGAAAAGCTAGGAAAAAGTAGTCTGGGATTTTTAACTTATGCTCCTCCTATTTTATAGAGTTTTTTCCTTTTATTTTCTGGTCCTGTCTTTTTAGTTGAAATTTAATGACCTACTTAGATTTGAAAAGCTTGAGCATCAGTTTAAGTTCCTGCTTTATCACCTTGCATTGCCTTTCCAATTAGGATGTGTGGATTCTTAAAGTTCCCTAAAGAAATGCAAACAGTCTAGCATGATAAAATTCTAGGGTGAACCACAACCTTTAAGTTACTGGTTTCTCATAACCAATTCTCATGCCTAAGTTCTGGAGCAAGTAGTCAGGGTTCCCAGGGCTCCAGAGTATTCAGGATTTCAGAATAAATGGTTCCTGGGGGGTTCGGCCACAGCAGCAACTGTCTGCTCAACTCATGAGAAGACCCCTCTCTCTAGGACATGGCAACCACACAACCTACCCCAATATGTGGATACTGGAAAGACAAAGCACAGCAAGCCTTCTGTACGTTGGGCTGTGGATTCAGATAAATGATTCAATCTTTATTCAGCTTCGGGTGGCTAGGCAGGGAACTCTGGCCAGTCAGGTTCTCAGTCATATCTGGCCAGTTAGAATATCAGGTTTCATATTTGTTATCTCTAAAATCTCTGAGGTGATGATGTATTTAAAACCCTCTTAAATAAATGCTGGAAATTTTGAGAACATGAATTTGTTCACCCTGGAATAACCCATATACCTAATTGTTTCTGTGCTTGATGGAAAATGTCCACTTTAATGTTTTCATTCGGTGCTGCCTCTGTAGGGCCAGATCTACTCAGTCACAGAAACTCAAGGCAATTTCTTGTCATTGCCTGGACTGGAGCCTGATGCCTCTCATAAGATGCATGGCTTTGAGAATGGGGTCACTGTAGCTGAGGAAAGGGCCTTCCAAGCAATATTTTCAGTTATGATGTTTAAAGAGGGAGATAAATAAAAATAAATGATAGTCATCACTTAGATTATGAAATAAAATCCAATTTTTCACAATTGCTTAATAATTCAAACAGTTTTCCTTGTTTAACTTTGGGGCCAGCTGAGTTCCATATAGACTTAGTTTTGGTTCCTGACCTCCAGCAGTTTTCAGTTTAAGAATTTCTTAATGCAAATGTTCATTGGAAGTCTCACAAATGCTGGTTTCTATCACTATTTTGCCAAGACAAAATGACCTTGGTCTAGAATGCACTGCATGAACAGCTTCTACTTTGTGGAATGGTTGGCCATTGTTCAAAAGCAGAATGGTTAGTTGGGCAATGAAATAATACAATTGAAGTGAAATTGTGACTCAATAAAAAATGTTACATTGATTTCTGTACTGGGATTAATAGAAGCCAAAACTAAAATCTGGATTGCAAAAAATAAAAATTTTAAAAGCCATAACTTTTATTATCTGTTAATAGCCATTTGTTGGCTATGGTAAATGGAACAACGATGGGACCAAAAATAGCCACGAGAACCCCTTATTCACAGCCTGGCCACAGAGAGAAGACGAGCTGGTCTAACTGCACGAGTTTGGGGTATTTCCTTGGTCATGTCTTACGTGCCTGTGGCTTCCACATTCCACACTTGTGCCTTCTGGGGTCTGATGGTTTTGGTGTTCCCCTGCTTCACACTGGCCTGGCTGTGCTCCTTGCTTCCTTGCAAACTCAAGGTAGTTTTGCTATTGTCTTTCTCCCTTTGCCTGTTTCTGGGACAACATCATTGGTATTCTTTTATATCTACCATCGGCACCATAAAACCATTTTTGTCTACAGGGTACCATATTCTGTTGATGCTGGTACTTAGTCCTATTAACACTTATCATGAGAAGTGAAGAGTCTCATAGTGAGCGCCAGTCGCGGTTATACTGTTAATATTTCCCCGAGGCATGCTTACTGTAAGTATGCCCTGTACATTCTTATAGCACACAATTCTTTTTTTTTTTTTTTTTTTGTGCGGTACGCGGGCCTCTCACTGCTGTGGCCTCTCCCGTTGCGGAGCACAGGCTCCGGACGCGCAGGCTCAGCGGCCATAGCTCACGGGCCCAGCCGCTCCGCGGCATGTGGGATCTTCCCGGACCGGGGCACGAACCCGCGTGCCCTGCATCGGCAGGCGGACTCTCAACCACTGCACCACCAGGGAAGCCCCATAGCATACAATTCTTAAATTGTAATTTTTTGGTTTTCAACAGCTTGGTCCGCCTCCACCTTTCCCATTTTCTACACCTTTGTGGAATATTATTTTTCCAGTCTTTAAACATTTAAATAACAAATTCCAAAAATAAAGAATATCTGAGGCAGTTGCCTGATGTGATGACATAGTCAAGCAATCTTTGACTTGGAGAGTGTGTGAGAGGCGGTTTTCTTAGGCTGTGTTAACACACACACACTGTTTTGTAAACATTTCTTCTCTTTCAAACTTTTAAAAACAAAACTCTTTTTTGTAAAATAAAAATTCAATTTAAAATGACTGCTTGTCTTGGAAAGTAGCTGATTGGTCTGTAACCTGACATCTGGCTCCTTTCATTGGCAGCAAGAAGCTTAAGTACTTAGCTATTTCTATATCATTATCTGACTCCTTACGTTGAAATTAACTATTTTTCAGTCTTTCCCACTAGACTGAGCTCTTTGAGTGTAGGATATAGGTGCTCAATAAATATTTGTTGAGCTAGAAACTGAACCTTATGAAATGAAAGACCAGAACCTTTTTTCGTGATGGCATTGAAAACAGTGATAACAAAAGTAGTATGGGGTTTGGGTCTTGGTAATAATCTCCGTGACAACATTTCAAGAGGAAAATGGTGTTTTCTTAGTTCCATGGGATGTCATGGTCCAGATAAAGTGCCTTTAAACTCATCCTCTGTGGCTACTGTGACCAGGTCCCACACTGGCCAGTCCGAAGTGTTCTACATTAGGATGTTTATGAGTTCTGTTCTTTCCTTAAGGAGCCAGAGGAAGAGCTATCCATGGAGGACAGCCCCACTGTGGTTAAACTGGACCAGGGTGGAAATCAGGGTCCACCAGTTCGCAAGAGAAGATGCCTCCCCAAGGCACTTGGCTACATAACTGGTGATATGAAAGAATTTGCCAACTGGCTTAAAGGTATTTACTCTTCCATCCCTTGGAGCAGTGGCTTTGGGGGAAATGGTTTGCTGGTTCTTCTAGTCATATCTTTAGTTATACTCCCCTACCTTCTATCTATCTCTTTCCTCTCCCTTTTTTAACTTTTTATCTTATAACCAGCAAACTTCTTCAAATTTTTTTTAATGGAGATAGTGGTCAGGGCCGCAGTCCAGTTGATATCAGAGGAAGGCACCTGGTTCCTCCTTATAATTTCAGTACTTAAAAAGTGAAATTTTACTACTGGTAATTCATTCCTTTGCCGTATGAATCTGAACCTCTAAGCATGGTAAATAAGTTCATCCGATGCTTTCTGGAACTGAGATTCTAGTAGGGGCAGTTGGATTGAGAGGAAAGAAACTGGTTGCTTTCAGGGATCTGAAGGTCACTAAGGGGAAAGGGTTCAGAGAAAAAGCTTCAAGGAATATCAAAAATTAGCTTCACCTTCATGAGAGGGGATTTTGCTCAGGGTGGGCCCTGGACTTGGGAAGGAGCCCCATTTGCCTCGCTGTTTCCTTAGCTCTGCCCATCTCATCTCTTCCAGACAAACCCCAGGCACTCCAGTTCGTCGACTGGGTCCTTCGGGGCATATCCCAAGTGGTGTTTGTCAGCAACCCCATCAGCGGAATCCTGATTCTGGTGGGACTCCTGGTCCAGAACCCCTGGTGGGCGCTCAGTGGCTGTGTGGCAACTGTGGTCTCCACCCTGACAGCCCTGTTACTCGGTCAGGACAGGTAGGCGCGTCCCTCCAAGCCTCCGCTTCTTGCTTCTTAGAACACAGGAGCCAACCAGTTACTCTGGGCAACAGTGATAAAGCCCCACCCTCCCCAGGAGAAACAACCTTTATTGCACAGAATGCTTTATATGTGCCTTTAGTCAGAGGTCAGGAAATCATTTATATCCTCTTATTCGTGGTACCTGAATAAGCGGCCAGTCTGAATGATGCCAGATGCTCCTGGCACTACATGGTAACCAGAAGAAAGCTATAAGTAATTCCCAGGGTAGGGTCCAAAGGGATCTGCTTTAATGATTGATCAATTATTTATCATCAGCATTTTGTTTATTTACAAAAAATGAATATGGGTTCAGGAAAAGTTTTAGTGGCTTAAAAATCCCACTAATCCCATTATATCTTATTTCCATGCTTAGCTTAGTAAATTCATTCTTCATGGACAGTACAAAGATTAGCTCAGCTTCCAGAGAGACAAACTGACATAAATTCCAAGTAAGCAAGTTCTGACTTAAGTAATGTTAGTGTGTCTTCTGAACTATGTGTTAGGCTAAACATAGCGTGTACTTTATAAACTATCTGCCACTGAAGAATTGATGAGCTGACTCCTACCATGGGAGGAGACGGCTCCTGCCTGACCAGTTCCTTCAGGGAGGCTGCTGGTCTTCTAGGTGGCCAGGATCCATGCATCACCCCCAGTGAATGGTCATTATACAGCTAAGCTCCTGTAACACTTACTGCAAACTGCCTAAGGGGCTTCTCGGGGAGAGAGTCCAAAAATGCTCCACTTTCCCATCAGGCCCAAGGAGCCTGACTTGTTCTCTATGGAGGGTGATTTTGTACCTTAGGTCAAATTCTGTTCTAATGCACATCAAGAAACAGTCTGTCCAGTTTAGAGGTGTGGTCCAGGATTGTATCATATCAAATCTTCTTCATTGTTTTGCCCCAGTAGAAGTTGACCCATTGTCCTTATCACGTATGGTTTAAAACAGGGGTCCCCAACACCCCCTGTTAGGAACTGGACCACACAGCAGGAGGTGGGTGGCAGGCTAGCAAGCAAAGCTTCGTCTGCCACTCCCCATCGCCTGAACCATCCCCCCCCAACCCAGTCCATGGAAAAAGTGCCTTCCATGAAACCGGTCCCTGGTGCCAAAAACGTTGGGGATCAATGGTTTAAAAGACCAGCCATATTTACATGGGTTAGTTTTCAGATCTCTTTTACTCTCCTCGGTCCTAAAGGGCACATGAAACAGGTAATTCTGCTTTAAATGAATACACATCTTCCTGTTGATGAAACTGTGGCATTCCACAACATGTAGGCATTGCAGTTAATTTTTTGTTGATCAAACTCAAGCCTTCAATCCGAAAGTCAGTTGCTGAGAGGACAAGCCTTGCATAGCTCCCCACTGCCCTCAGGTATGGCCTCAATTATCATTTCCTGGGTTAAACCAATACAAGTCGCATCACCTGCCACATATCCTGAAGGATTGTTTAAGGGAGACAAAGGGCTTTTGAGCATGGAGTCTCACCTCTAATACTCTTGCCCAGATGAATATCACCCTGCTGTTGAACTGGTGCCTCCTGCTCCAGTGACAAACAGGCCGGGAGAAGCTTTCACACCATCCTGTACTGCCCTGTAGCGTGACTCATTGCTACATCACCTCCCCCTCAGGCCCTGTGTTCAACCTCGCCCACCCACTTCACCATCTGCAAACCCGTGACTCCTACAGACTTCATCCTTGAATGCTGGGTACCTTCAAGGTGCCAATTCTCAGAGCCCTGGGGGGCCTGGCTTGTCAGCCCCAGGGCTTATTCTATAGAAATCATTCCATTTCTTGGAGCTTCTTGTCCCCAAATATGAAATGGGAACCATTTTGGCCAGGAGTAGAAACTTACCCAGGACAACATTTAGAAGTGAGGTTAAATGCTGGGAAGCAAAAAGGACCCAAGAAATAATTAGGTGCTATATATGCACATAATTAAATGGAGTAATTTGCCAAGTAAAAGTAATTGTTTTTCTTTGCAATAACTTGGAAATGTATATCTGGAGACAACAAAATGGAAGCACAGGAAGATGAAAATATATGCTAAGTTGGAAGATCTGTGTTTATAAGATCAAAGACACCATGGAAGTAAATTTACATTTTAAGAATCTTACATCTCTCACCAAGAAAATCAGACTTAGGAAACAGTTTCACATCAAAGCTCTATTCAAGTCAGAGGTCCTAATGACTTAAAAGAAATAATAACTTTTGGAACAAAAGGGTAAAAGGAAGCAGAATAGGTTGGATTGCTGATTTCCCTTTCCTCCCCTAGATGCTGGAATTCTATCTTTAGCTATGACACCTCTATAGGGGTTGTTCTATGTGCACATTTGCATTTTATCCATGTATATTTTACTTTTTCATGCTTTTATTAGTATTTGGCTTCTACAGACTTTGCAATAAAATCCTAAATATAATCTCATTTTCAAATGTAAATATTATCTGGAAGTTACTAGTGTCATTTATGTGCACGTCCAGCCAACATCCTCCTGGAAGCTGTCCAAGCTGTGCCTTTTGCCCACAGGTCCGCCATTGCAGCAGGGCTCCAGGGCTACAATGCCACCCTGGTGGGAATCCTCATGGCTGTCTTTTCAGACAAGGGAAACTATTTCTGGTGGCTATTATTCCCTGTATCTGCTATGTCCATGACTTGGTAAGTTGTACCTGGTTTTCGAAATGCCTTTTTGAAAAATGTATAGGGGGAGAAGGCAGTGGGGGAAGTTATTATTTAGGGAGTATAGAGTTTCTGTTTTGCAAAATGAAAAATGTTCCATGAATGGATGGCGGTAATAGTTGTACAACAATGTGAATGTACTTAATGCCGCTAAACTGAATGCTTTAAAATGGTTTAAATGGTAAATTTTATGTTATGTATATAACACAATCTTTAGAAAAATATATTTTTAAATTTAGATTCAGGATATGTCTATTGGAAACATTCAAATACACCGATGCGTGTGGCCTCCACACACACCTCACAGCCAACCCCCCACAAGATTCTGATGTAATTGGTCTGGGGTGTTTCCAGGGCATTGGGAGTTTGAAGGCTCCCAGGAGGTTCTAAAGTACAACCAAAGTTGAGAACCACTCCCCACATCAGTGGTCCTCAAACATGCACACTATCAGCCTCACCTGCAAGGCCTGTTAAAACACGGACTGCTGCTCCCTCCCCCAGGCTTCCTGATTCAGTCCATCTGGGGCAGGGCCTCAGAATCTGCATCTCTAACAACTTCCCAGATGATGCTGTTGTGGCTGATCCAGGGACCTCACTGAGAACCCCTGTGCCTGTATGAACTCCCCTTACCACCTGCCCCTGTCCCCTTCAAAATAGTTCTTTACTGAATTCGATTCCTTTTTTAACCCTAAATCCTTCAAACTAGTTCTATGTTGACACTGTCTTAAATACTTTTTTTCTTTTTCGAAAACAAACATTTCCTTCTTACCATGGTATATTCAGAATATAAAATATTAGTACCCACACAAATGATACGTGTAGCCCACTATGGACAGCGTGCCCACCCTGGATACAGCACAGATGTGTGGAGGAGAACCTGCCGGCACGGCCAACCTGCTCAGGTGGGACTTCCCACCTATTCTGAAGATAAGGCTCAAGGGCAAGAGGCATCACCTGCACATGGTCACTCACCCTCTCCCCCAATTCCGGAAACCTGGGATTCTGACCTTAAAGTGATGGCTCCTTGATTGGATCAACAAGTGAGGGAACAAAATGGGCCCAGAGACCATATAATCCAATCTCCCAGTTTACAGATGAGGGAACTGAAAGTACCTCCCTGCCCTCGGCCACACAGTTCAACTGCTCAAGGACTTAGAACTCTGCCCTCCTGAGTTTAAGATCTCTTTCCTCCAGTCCACACCACCTGCATCCTTCCTGGGACCATCGTTTTTCTTTTTCAAGACTAAATATACTAAGACTCGTGGAGATGGTATACAAGTTCAAGATCAAGTTTGCCTCTGGTGGGGAGGGAGGTGCATATGATCAAGTAGGTTACAGAAGGGGCTTTAACTGTTTAGACAATATTCTTTTCAGATGTCTTAAATACTTCAAAAATATTTTTAAAACCTAGATTTATAACTCACTGTGAGCAAACCCAGAGCATAATTTTCCACAAGCCAAATAAGCTGAGAGTTTATTTTTGACTGTATGTAAGAATTATTCTATGACAGGATTTATTCCAGGTGTGTTTGGGTTTGGGTTTGTTTTTATTTTTGGTTTTTTTTCTGTGAAAAGTTTGGCAACACACTTCAGGGACATATTTGCCAATGAAACAAAGCCCCTCCATAGTATAGAGATTCAGTTTGTCAACCTGGCTTCCATTCCAGGGCATTGGGAGTTTGGAAGGCTTCACATGCATATTCTTCCATTCTGTTCTGTTGTTGTTTTTAGTCCAGTTTTCTCAAGTGCGTTGAACTCCGTGTTCTGCAAATGGGACCTCCCTGTCTTCACTCTGCCCTTCAACATGGCGTTGTCAATGTACCTTTCTGCCACGGGACATTACAATCCATTTTTCCCAAGCAAGTTGTTCACACCTGTAACCTCAGTTCCCAATGTCACCTGGTCTGACCTCAGTGCCCTGCAGGTAAGATACACTATCTTCTTACACCCCCACCCCCCCAACCCCACCCCCACCACTGGCTCTGGAAGACACCCCGTGTCCTCCTGGTTAATTATTCATGGGCATCAGAAGCTTATAGAGACTCAGCACTGGGGGGACCTTGCCACCTTCCTCTTTTTTTTTTTAAGAATTTTTTTTAAAATACGTATTTGGCTGCGCCAGGTCTTAGTTGCCGCACGCGGGATCTTCGTTGCCGCATGCGGCGTCTTGTTCCCTTACCAGGGATCAAACCCAGGCCGCCTGCACTGGGAGAGCAGAGTCTTAACCACTGGACCACCAGGAAGTCCTTTAACGCCTTCCTCTTGCCGTCTAAATGCTTATTTGTTCTACTCCAAAGCTTTGGGCTCTAAGGGATTTTTTAAATGACTATTTGGTCAAAGCTAATTTTTCTTCCTCTTTTCCTAAAATCTGCAGTGCTAACTCCAGAATATATCTCCACTGAAATTTAGACACTCTATTTCAAACTTGGCCCTTATTTGTGGGGTATGATGGAGGCCAGCCCTTGAGGCAGGGGCCTCCAGCCTGGTGTTAAGTCGTCCCTGACCTACCTCCTCCAATCAAAAGAACTGGCTGCTTACTGTTAGATCCTGTTGCAGAAGCTCTCTATTCTGCTTTTTCTTATGGTGGACCTCATAGAATATGTACAGTAATTCAGATTTCTCAGGCTTTGGAGGCATAAGAATCACTGTTTTTTAAATACTAATACAAGCTCCATCTCGACTCCCTAAATCATAATCATTGGGGTGGAGCCTAGGAGCCTGTATTAACAAGCTCCCCAGATAATAGTGACGTGGGCCAGAGTTTGAGAACCACTATCCTAGGATGTATGCTGTGTATTTCATTACAGTTGTGCATAGAGAGAGCACTATTTTTAAAAGCCTGGTTAACCCAAATCAAATTCCAGCTCTTTGTATTGGTGTTTATTTAATAAATCTGTTTAAGGTTTCTTGATTATTTAAAAAAAGAAAACACTTGAAATCAGAAGAAAACCAACCTTACCTTTTTTAGGGTGCAAGAGACTGATTTTTCCGCTATCAGGTTATAAAATACCTTTTGCTGTCCTCTTTGCTGAGCAGTCAAAACATGTGAGGAGTTCAAGTAGCCTTTTCTTTAGCTTCTTGCCCAGAAAATGAATGGGAGCATTTGGAAATAACTCAGAAGGAAAATTAAAAATTTATCAGAACTGCCCATGAAAAAATAGCATTAGTTTAACTATCTAAAACTGCCCTAATACAGTAGCTATTTTAATTTAAATGTAAAGTTAATTAACATTAAATAAAATTTAAAATTTAGTTCTTTAGCCTCACTAGCCACATTTCAGGTGCTCAATAACTGCACGTATTGGACAGCACAGATACAGAATATTCCATCACCACAGAAAGTGCTAGTGGACAGTGCTAACATGGGGAAGGGGAGTCTTGTCCTTCTCCTCACTCTGAACTACCTCTCCAACATCAGCATACTTATTTCCCATCTCATCAACTCCCCATTTCCCTGGGGAGGGATACCTGAGGGATAGTTCTGCTGTCCAGTTCTGTGATAAAAGACCACAGAGTCTGCCTGTGTCAAGTTCCCTGGTCTAGAAGAAACAGGAAATGATCCTGTGTAGACGTGAAAATCCAGCATGGGCTGGAAGAATTTAGGCCCATCTTAGGTTAGAATCAAACTCACAGTATGATCCTGTGCCCTGGGCAAGGACCAGACTAGCATCAGAAACCAGCATTGGATCCAGCCTAATTCATGGAAGGAGTGGACACTTCCTTGTGCCAAAGCTGGCCTCCCTGCATCAGAGTCACTGCCTCCCAAAGGTCCTTGCGAAAAGGTGGAAGGAGTGAGATGGGAGGTAGGGAGGACCCCTTTCAGTGATAGCCTTGGTCAAAACAGAACTAACACAATTAATTACGCCTATCCTAGCCCTACCAGAAGTGTTGTTATAAGGAATTATCATTTGTTAGCTTGAATCAAACCCTGTACCTTGTTCCTAGGAACTGCCACTCTGTGAACATATTACCTGAGTTCAGAACTCAGCCAGAAAGCTAGACTTGTGATATTTACATGGATTTTTGTGTTCTGAGGACTGGCAGTTGTTGATAACTGGAATAAGCTAAGGATATCTTGGTTTAAATTAATACAAGCTCTCTAAAAATGTATATATAATGAAAAATAAAAAGAATTTTTAATTAAAAAAATTTTAATAAAAACTAATCAAAACATAAAAAGTAAATAAATAAATATACATTTTAAAAAATAAAGTAAAATTAATTAACTAATACATGTTCTCATTAACAACAGAAGTGTAAATATGGTCCTGACTCATGAACCTGCCAATAATTGCTTCGGAGTTGTGGATAAGATAACCCGACTTTGGGTCTCTGCCCTTAGCACAAATAACTAAATTACGTGGGAGTAATAATACTTCTATTGACCATAGAGATGCATTGATTTATTGGCCTCAGATCTGATAGAGAGTTGAAAGCAATAGAAGTGTGAGCTGTGGTCCCTGCCATCCTCACTGGGAGGCGTGACCGATCCTCACAGGATCAGTGAGGAGCAGTGACACAGCACTGGGAGCTTATCAGTGACCAAAGCCAGGTGACAGTGCAAGCAGTAGAGCCAGTGAGTGAAGGGTCTGGGAAAGGCATGCTCAGCACGCAGCAGGGAAGGGCTGGTGTACCTCTGGGGATAAAGCAGAAGAATGACTGAGATTTTTCCATAGAGAGAGAGAATTTTAAAAATTAGTAGCACTGACCTTGAAAGATAAGATACGCTAAATCTAAAATGACATCGCATTGTGTTTGTGGGTGTCCTATGAGTTTCTGTACAGTAGTTTTAATGACCGCATTTTCTAAATTGTTTCTGCAGTTACTGAAGTCCCTGCCTGTGGGTGTTGGTCAGATATATGGCTGTGATAATCCGTGGACAGGGGGCATCTTCCTAGGCGCCATCTTCCTCTCCTCCCCACTCATGTGCCTACATGCTGCGATCGGGTCGTTGCTGGGGATGGCAGCAGGTGAGTGTAAGACTTGTTACCAGATACTGAGCGCCTCCTCTGCTCCATCCATTGTCTCAGGCATCTTCTATACCCCAGACCTTTCTTGAAGGTCTGCTTCCAAGGGACCAGTGGGAGTTCTCGGATGACTTCCCCACCCCAAGACTCCTTCCAGAGCATCCTGCATTTAGTCCAAAGTTCTGACTCCTCCTGTCTTGCCTAATAGGACTCAGTCTTTCAGCTCCATTTGAGAACATCTACGTTGGACTCTGGGGTTTCAACAGCTCTCTAACCTGCATTGCAATTGGAGGAATGTTCATGGCGCTCACCTGGCAAACCCACCTCCTGGCTCTTGCCTGCGGTGAGTATCCTGTTCATCTGGGGCATGGTTGCTTATGATTATGGGATCAACATCAAGAACAAACAGTCAGAAAGGACTGTGTGAGAAACTAGAGCAGGAGTTCTAGTTTGAGCCCCCTGCTATCTGCTGAGGATGGAACCAGGGCAACTGGCCTCCCCTCTCTGGGAGGGTTTGGGTCTGCTCTGTCTACCTCATTACTCATTTTGAAGATGAGAGAACCATTTTACAATATGTGTATGTTGAGGGATAGAAACTTGACTTGTCCTATGTTCTTCATACTAATTGTTTGACCCAAGAAACTAAAAGGAAACAAGCTTAGAGTCGGTTCTCCTGGTGAATCAGGTGGTATTAAAGGGCCCTTAGAGAATCACCTTAATCCAGCTGTTCTCAAAAATGGAGCAAACATCAGAATCACCTGGAAGCCTTGTTAAAACCCAGATTGCTGGGTCTAACCCCCAGTCCCTGACTCATTGTTAGAGGTAGGGGGAGGAGTTTGCATTTTTAACAAGGTGCCAGGTGGTGCTGATGCTGTAGCTCTGGGGACCACATTTTGAGAACTGCTATATTAATCCTTTCTAACCTCTGTTTTCTAGCCAGACTCAGCCTATGGGAGCTAGAAAGGGTTCTGGAGATCTCCACTCCATCCTTCTCATTTTACTGTTGGGGTTCTACATAAGGGCAGAGAGAGAAAGTGACACACGGAAAGGCATCCATTAGGGGTAAATATAAGTCCAGAATCCACATTTGCTAACAACTTCCAGAGTTACGCCCACTACACTACTCTCCTTCCCTTTAGTACCATTCAGGCACTTAGGTGAAAACAGACCTCAAGTGCTTTGGATATGAAAAGCTACCATGGATTTCTCTGGCCATTGGAAGGGGAGCTTATTCACTTATAGCTTCTGGCATCCCTAATTCAACACAAATAAAAGTGTGTAAGATAATGTGCTAGAATGAAGGAAATGACACTTCCTTGGGGACAAAGGGGTGGAGGGATATTGGAACATGCAGAAACTTCTGTAATCTCATGGAAACATTTGTCTAGAGTCATTTTATCACCAGATTAATCAATCCAGCCATTATTAAAGTGGTGGGCTACATGTCAGGCAGGATTTAGAGTGAGTTCCTGCATTGGGCAGGACATGGGATGGAACCAAAGATTTCTAAGGCCTAATCCAATTTTGACTGTCTGATGCTCTAGGAAGATTAACAAAACTCAGGTTGCTGTGGTGTTGCCATTCACATGTCATTTTGTCAATTTCTTTATAGTTACATAACTATTTCACCTAATAGTCCTGTTAAAATTTTTGCTCATTTTTCCATACTTGTTTAAAGCTTAGGGCAAAGGAGAAGGGTAGAAACAGATTATGTGGCCTCCTGAGCTCACCTGGGTTAGACTCTTTATTCTGAGGTTGGTTTGAGGTTTCAAACCTTTATTTTTTCTGTATTGGCAGTAGCAGCAAATATGTATTAAACACTCATGGTACAACCCAGACAGTACTAGGAAGAGCTAGAGGTTCAGAAGCTTTAGATCCCAGATGGTTTTCTGTACAGAAAACAGAAGCCAGGTGAGTAAGAGAGAGAAGCCCACAGAGACCACAAGATGCAGAGCTAGGAAACACCTACAGTGCAGAGTGAGTCCCTGGGGGAACATTATAGTTCAGAATCACCAAAAAGCACCTCCTAGAAAGGGTGGCTTTTCTGTAAGTCCTAAAAAGTAAGAGGAGGAATTCCAGTTGGTAGAAAGCATGGTCTGGGCCAGCATAGGGACAGTCTGAGCACATCCTTAAAGATAAGCAGAAACTGTCTTGGTCACGGGTGTTGTTAAGGTCTGTGAAGGTCTCTTCACGGACTATGGGAAAGGAAAAGCCAAAGATGTTTACAGATGTGTGTTTCCCAAAGCTGTGATATCATCATTATTTTCTTTCTATACTTCTATAGTTGTACAGGCCTATTCTACCAAACAAAACAAACAAAAATTCAATCAATACAGAAGTGTATAAAGCAGAGAATGAAAACACTCCATCCCACTCCCTAGACAGAACTTCCTTGCCTCCTTCTTATAAGGACCCTGTGATCACATTGGGTCAACCTGGCTAATCCAGGATAAACCTCCATCTCAAGATCTTTAACTTAATCACAACTGCCAAGTCCCTTTTGCCACATAAGGTAACATATTCACAAGTTCTGGGAATCAGGACATGGACGTCTTTGGGGGCCTTTATTCTGCCTATCACATCTCCCTTCCTTTGGATAGATCAGATTTTCATTATTAGTAGAGCATACTGGTTAAGTCAGTATATTGAACTAGTTAAGAGCCCAGACCCTCCCTGGTGCCCAAATCCCAGCTCTGCCTATTTTAATTTCAAGAGATGCCAAATGCAGCCCACAAAGGCCGTACCAATTTCCCCTGCCACTGACAGTATATGAGAGTGCCTGTTTCACCCACACTGGGCACTGTCTTTTTAATCTTTGGACATAAAGTTTTGAGACAGACCTCTAGTCCCTCTTAAAAAGCAAATCTCACAGCAAGTTTATGCTTGCCCATATCACCCCGATACTGCCAAACAAAAGGTAAACCTTGTCAGCCAAGGTAAATAAATAACAGGCATTTATCACAGAGGTGCTCTTTTATTAGCTCCTATGGCTTTATCGGAAAGAGGACTTCGGAGTCACTGATAGAGCCTGGTAAAGCTGCCTTCCCTGTGTCCCTAAGCCAGAAACTGCATGGCCAGGGAACTCCTCAATTTTGTTATTTTATCAGTGCAAACTGTAAACACATTTTGTATCTCTTCTTACAGTTGGGTTATCATAGTAGGACTCGCGCATGGTGGTCTGTGGGAAGGGACGTTGTCTATGAAGGACTAGGATCCAGTCCTCCCTTCCACACTCAAGGGCCTTTTCTCTCCCTCAACTACTCAGAACGCTGTCAGGGTCATCACCTCCAAACCATGGTGTACAGAACTTCACCTCTAATATAAGGCTTTCCCAGCCCAACCCAGCTAGTCTTAAGTGATGGGCAGCAACTGTTAGACAATCTGATACTCTTACTATAGAAAGAAAAGCAACAGGGAATTGAAACAGCATTACAATATGAGACTCGAGCACCAAAAGTACGTTAATAGGTATTAAGCTATTGCACTTCTAGGAGAGAAATAAGGTCTCACGTGTTCAAGGGAGTGTCATAGAAAAGCTGGTACTCAGGAGAGAAGGGACAGAGTGTCCCCTCTACTTAGCCAATGGCCAGTGAATATTTCTTGAATGAGTGAATGAATGAATGAACTAAATGGGGGGGAAAGAGAAAATCTTCTAACCCTTCTCCTCAGAGCAGTACTTCCAACCCATGGTGACAGAGATGAGTTTATAGCTACTGTTTGTGAAAATATACGATTTCATTTGAGATTCATTACCTCCCTGTAAAAAACCTCTTCAAGTTGCCTTTTTACAGATGATGAAACTAGATTCCTAGTTCAGTGATTTGTTGCACAGCAAACAAAATTGCAGAACTGGGATTTGAAGCCCAGATCATTTCCAAAGATGAGCCTTTCCCATTAGCATGAGACAATTCAGATGTGAAAGAATTAGGTATACTGTTGAACAAAAACTATCAGGATAAAAATATAAAATATTGATAAAAGGATGGAAGTCTATAGTAAAGGAGGATCATAAGGTCCCTCCCACCACCGCTGCCCAACTCCCCAGAGTAGCAGATGTGATTTCTCGATGGACTTGAGGATCAGATGATGAGTGTGTCTAACACTGAGTGTTGCTGGCCCAAGTGACCATGCGGCCATTGTAAGAAGGTTATTCTTCAGGCCGCCTCTGTGAAACCTAAGGGCTTCCACGAGCCCCCTTGGGGCCAGGAATTGAGTTAGCTAGTTGAGATCTTTGATTTTGTTGTTTTACATTGAAAGTCATACATATAACTCAAATTACCTACTCTAATTTGTGCTCAAAGTAAATAAAAACAGGATGTTAATTAATTCATTGACCTGTATGCCAACCTTAATGGTATTTGGGAAAATGTTATTATGGGGAGGAATCCCAGGTCTGTGTTCAGTTTCTGCCAATTTCTGAGTTACTACATATATATATATATATACACTATGATATTTGGAACTGTGAATTCTAACCATTGATCTGAGAATCCCAGATGCCATGAGATTGTATGCTGTCTCAAGGAACATAAGTTTAATTTTAATTATTATGCTTGGATAAAATAATGGGGAAGTTTATTTACCATGGAAGGCCTTTTCCTTAAGTGTTATCAATAATAGCAACAAAATAGTACCACAGAAAAGCTACCTTTATTGAGTACTCACTGTGTGCTAAGCCCAAGCATTATCTTCTTCACACTCACACCAACCCGTGAGAGAGAGATTCCTATTACCTCCTTGTACAGGTGAGGAAATGGGACTTCGAGAGGCAGCACCGAGCTCGTACAGGGTGGAGTCTGGATTTGAACCCAGAGCCGCTGACTCTAAGCTCATACTTGTAACCAGGATGCTGGGCTCGCTGGTGAAACGCACAAGTTTACATTCCAGGGATTTATACCTAAAGGCAGTCTTTCCTGTAATGAAAAGTGCACCTACCAAGCATTCTTCTTTCCTTTTTTTTTTTTTTTTTTTTTGGTAGCCCTGTTCACTGCCTACGTTGGAGCCAGCATGTCCAACCTGATGGCTGTGGTGAGTTTGCTTTAATCTCATTTTCTCATCAGTGTGATCGATCAGTTTTCAACGATATGGAAGCCCTCCTGAAGTCCACTTTCGTGGCATCCTGGGGCAGAATCCATGACAGATAGCCACTACTTTCCATCTGCCAGACCCACCTGTCCTCACTTACCCTCCAGCATCACAGTAAACCTTAGTCCAAACTACAATCACCAGGCTTGCTAAAAATATCAGATTGTTTGATTTAAAGGAGTGAAATTTAGGGTGTATAATATATTATCAAGTTCATACTTTAACTCTGAGTGTCAAGAAGTTGACTTTAGAATATCTTTCACTTAAACAGAAAACTGGGGCTATGTATTAGTTGATAAATCAGAAAAGAGAGGAAAAGGATAGTTGATTAAAGACCCAGATTTTTTTTTAATTAAGCCAACAGTTTTTCATACCCCTTATATTTTTTTAATCCCCAATCAGTCATCAGTAAGACTTTTTTAGACCCATGTCCTGGCTGAATTTTTTTTTTATTTTTGGCTGCATTGGGTCTTCATTCCTGTGTGCGAGATTTCTCTAGTTGCAGCGTGCAGGCTTCTCATTGTGGTGGCTTCTCTTGTTGCGGAGCACGGGGTCTAGGTGCACAGGCTTCAGTAGTTGTGGCTCGTGGGCTCTAGAGCACAGGCTCAATAGTTATGGTGCACCGGCTTAGTTGCTCCACAGCATGTGGGATCTTTCCGGACCAGGACTCAAACTTGTGTCCCCTGCACTGGCAGATGGAAGTCCCTGGCTGAATTATTTAGTAGCCAAAATGGTTGCCCATTAAGAGCCTCCTGCTACTCTCTCCTTCCTTTGACTTTGTTCTTCCCCTCCCCTGAGGAGCCCAGTATCCCCAGAGTATTCTGGGGTCCCCCACCTCTCAGTGCCCTTCCTCACCGACCACTGCAGATGATGCAGGGCCGGTTCATGATAACTCTATCCATGTAGATGTGGTCATGGCTGCCACTGGGTTAGGACAGCATCTAGCCCTCTCAACAGCAGCTTCGAGAGCTTACCTGGGAGGGTCCTTCTGGAGACACAGTATCTTTATGGTGGAATGTCAAAGCCCTGTTACAGGCATGATGGGATGCCTTAGAGCTTGTGGGGCCCTTCACATCCCAACAAAGGTTCACAGACCTTGGCCTGTGGGCCAGAATTGGACAGGCTGCGAAACAGAGTCAGCTAGGGAGATTTTGAAAAATGCAGGTCCTCAGACCCTGTCCCTTGGCATTTCTGGTAGAGTAGATCTTGTATGATGCCTAGGCATCTGTGTTTTATTAAACTCTTCCAGATGTGATGTGACGTCAGGTTTGTGTATCATCATACTCTGGGGGTCCATGTATAAGGCCAAACCTAACCAAGTACATGGTGTGTGCTCAGAATTGTGTGAGTTGCCATGGACGCACAGAAGGAAGAGCTACCATCAAGGAGCTTACAGTCTTTTTGAGAAATGAACAAAAAGCAGTAAAGCAAGTAGAGTCCAAGACCTAGACTGGGTAGAGGTCAAGGGGAGAGAGGGCTGAACTAATCAAAAATGGCTCTGTGGATCTGATGAGTGGTCAGGAGCCATTGGTGGTTGGCGAAGTGTCATCTCTGGGAGCAAGGTGTCATGTTAGCTCATCCAGTGTAGGAAGTCTGACTGCATGAGAGGGAGGGAAAGACATACATCAACACTAAGGAATGCATGCTGACATTTCAGCTGCAGAATGCCCTGAGATCTTAGACTCAGTCTCCACAGGGACAAGCAGAGTCCAGAGCAGTGCCCCCAGCAAGTCATCCCCTGAGCTGAATGACAGTGGAGTGAAGCATGGTTCCTTTGAGATCCTCCGACAGGATCTCAAAGGAATGTGTGACTTGTCTCTTTTGCTCCAGGTCGGATTGCCATCTTGTACCTGGCCCTTCTGTTTGGCGACACTACTGTTCCTCCTGCTGACCACGAAAAACCCCAACATCTATAAGATGCCCCTCAGTAAAGTCACTTATCCTGAAGAAAACCGCATCTTCTACCTACAAGCCAAGAAAAGGCTGGTTGAAAGCCCTTTGTGAATGCAACCCCCATCCACAGCCATGGTCACAAGTCATTTCTGACTAACTACCCCAGTTGACTTCGAGGGTCTCAAAACTGTTGTTTTTACTACTAACAAATTTCATACTAAGCCATCGGTGATCTCTTCTTTTTCCCATTTTGTATTTTTCTTTCAGACTCCAAAACATGCCCAAACAAGTGACAAGACACATCAAGGTGATGTGCTCTGGCTATGGAATTTAAACCCCAGTGGGGCATTGGCACTGAGACTGTACTGTATTTACAAAGTCAGAATGGTCCACCAGAAAGAGGAAGGAAGACCAAAGCTAATTATTGATATTTATTGATATTCTTGGTGCTTGGTTGCACATGATGTTAACAGTATTAAAAAATTAATCTCTATAAACCAACTAAGCCTTAAGTGAATGGAATTCAGAGTCACAAAATCAAAGTCAACCCAGAATTCTCAGATAAGCCATCTGGCTTATTTAAAATCAATGCAAGTTACACATTACAGCAGTGGTCAACATTGCAGGGCTCATCACTGAGCTCTTTCCCCAGCTCCTCAGCAGAACTGCCTCCATGCTGTCCCATGTGTGTGACATTCTCTTACAGGAGACGGTCGGTTTGTTTCAGGCTGGCAGAGCTGCAGGAGGGAGAATGGGATCCCATCCTTCAAAATTATTCTGTATTGTCACTTTTCTTGGATATTGCAAAGGATTTTTTAAGTAGTTTATTATCTTTTTTTTAGGAGGATAGATTTGTTTTCAATGAGGTAAAATAAGAGAAGTTCCTGGCTTTACCAGTTCCTAGGTATTAAAAAGAAAAAGTTACATTTTTCTAAAATACTCAGCATAGCTATTTTTACTTTAATCTACCTAAACTGATTTTGTAAATGCCACAAAAGCAGAGAATCGAATACCAAATCATCAACATCCAAGGGCCCTTTAAAGTCACATTTTCAATTCATTTAAGGATGTTATATATTATAAAGACTGAAGGTTAATGCCAGATTGCTTCTGGGTGTTTAGAAGTTGTTTAATTCTTACTTTAAAAAAAATCACTATTTTCTGCACGCTTACAATATTCTCACTCAGAAACCAATGGTATTTGAACCATCAAAAAGAAACACAGGTAGGGGGCTTCCCTGGTGGCACAGTGGTTAAGAATCCACCTGCCAATGCAGGGGACACGGGTTCAAGCATTGGCCTGGGAAGATCCCACATGCCGTGGAGCAACTAAGCCTGTGCGCCATAACTACTGAGCCCATGTGCCACAACTACTAAAGCCTGCACACCTAGAGCCACAACAAGAGAAGCCACCGCAATAAGCCCACGCACTAAAACGAAGAGTAGCCCCCACTGACCGCAACTAGAGAAAGCCCACGTGCAGCATCAAAGACCCAACGCAGCCAAAAATAAATAAAAATAAAATAAATTTATTTTTTAAAAAAAGAGAAATACAGGTAAAGGAGTCTCCTGTTTTGCTTTGTTTGTGTAAGTTATCAATCCTATAAAGATTCTATAACCAAACATGCTGAAGACGGCAGTGGGAAGCTCCGAAATTTTGGAGAATTGGAAAATGACACTGGAATCCTAAAGGTGTTTTTCTATTTGGGTTTGAAGTACTCAGTGCAAACTATACAGTTTGCTGAATGAACAAACAGAAGAAGGGAAGTAAACCTACAAATATTTTAGGGAAAAGTTCACTTCTTCATTTTCTCAGGGAAACACTGTTCCAATTTAAAAACCTTGTGACCAAAGCCTTTTGAAACCATGACTTTGCAGCTGTCATAGAGTCATGTCTATTCCTGTGGAAAAACTAAATTTTCAGTGTTGGAACTGAAATCTCCCTTGTTAGGGAATTTGTAAAATAAGAGTTGGGGGGGGGGGGGTACAAAAATGCAAGCAGACCAAAGATCACCAGGACTGGAGACCCTGGGGCAAGGTTGAGGGAACCAGAGCCTCTCAGTGTCTCCAAGTCCGTGTTCACAGGGAAGCCCTAGCGGGCTGACCATATGCCCTTTTCCCACGTGCTCACACAGACTTGTAAATAGGAACATTTTAAAACCTTGTACATTGTCTAATTTAAATAGTATTCATTTTCTCAAGCTATTTTTGTTGCTAAGTGTTATCCTAATAATTTTAGTGAATATTTTATTGATTTTCCTAAGGAGTGCTTATATTCTTTTCTATTGCCTGTATGACAAATTTCTATGTAAGAATATGAATAAATTATACGCACAGCTCAGTTTTGTGTAAATTTTGTTTAGAAGTCATATATGCCTTTTATAGCCATTGTGTACATTAACAATCACACGCATAGGTATGTATTGCTTATATTTCAATGTACTAGAATCCTTATTCCTTTCTTATACTTCATAGTCACACCAGATGCGTAGTTGAGAAAACCCTGTTCAATTTCAGATTTATGAGCCCATCCCCTTGGTTATCCCCTCAACTATCCATTGGTCTCCTCACTCAAGAATTAAAATGCATTACTGAGGACAGTTACAGATGTTCAGGGCACTCTCCTAACACTTGGAGAAGAATATCCTGAGAGCCAGCTTCTATGCATTCCCAGACAGGCCCTGGGTACCCATCAGGACTGACCCTGGGCCATGACCTGCCTCAGGGGTCAGTGTTCTAGGACAAACTACTGTTCAGAATGTCATCCCCCGAGGGTGAAGGCCAGTGCTTGTCTCTGCCTCCTTTAACCCATGATTAGCATATTTGAAAGAAAACACACTAAAAATGGAAAGTTAGTCCAACCAGTTTCAAAAAGCTGCCCAAACAGGAAGCAAAAGGAAGCCACAATGACTTGGACCCTTGGAGTGCTCTCTGTCAAAACAAAACCACTCCCACCTATCGTTTCAAGATAATAAATTTTACAAGAGTGATCTGCCTCCTTTGGTATGAGGTAGAAAACAGCGAGAAGGTTTTGAGCCCTTTTTGCTAAAGACTCCAGACACTATATAATTTCTGAGTTACAGGTGCCAATTTTCTTGCTACCCAGACACTTGATTACTGTGGAATATGTTGAGATTGGAAGGTTAAGCTCCAGGAGATCAGGAATTTCCAAGGGGGCTTCTTACAAACAAGCTTGCAAGAATATTTTCAAGCTTGTTAAGTATAGAACGAGGTTTTACATATGTGACTGTGTTCAGCCTCCCCCTTATCTAACAACTTCCTTCCAAAAAGCTTTAATCTTTAGAGTTAAATATCCTTCTTGAACGTGCATTGACAACCCCCCGGACCATTAGAAGACTTGTAGATTCACAGCTACAGAGTTCCGTTTGCTAAAAAAATCTGCAGTGCAGATCTTGAAGGAATCTAAACAAATACAGTGAATGAAAGACTCTTAAAGAAGTGAATATAAGTCCTATAATAGTCTGCTTTCACAGCTCTTAAAATTGAACTATGAAATACATATAATAGGTCAGAGCAGACATATGCAAAGTCATCTAAAAGAAAAGAATACTTCCAGATCTGACCTTAACCTTATTAAGTATTAACCAGGTAGGTGTTAACATAGCTGAAGCAAGCTTACATCTGATGCAGTAGCAGGTCAACCACTGAAACTTAGGATTTGGAGGCAAACATACGCAGGGGTCTTCAGCACAGGGGGTGGTGGTCCAAGAACAGGTGTCAAGGGAGATCTCTGTGGTGGAAAACGATGCACTGGGGTATCATGGTTTAGCTAATGATCATTTAATCAAGCAGCAAATGCCTCTTATATAATCCTGTATGCACAAGCTACCTGGCTTCCTGTGTAGATTTGTCTTCCAGAGGAAAAATGTACTTGTTCACACTCATGAGTTTCTGATCCTCGATAGTTACATTTCTCATTTTAATTAATAATTTAATTCAGATACATAAGTCTTTACAAGTTTTATTTGATGTTATATGTCACCAAAAAGCAAATCACCCAGGGTGTTCCAACAAATTTAAATTTCTGAGGCTACAAAGGTGGGTGGGGTTGGGGGTAGTCAGGGAAGGCCTCCCTGAGGACATGACATTTAGGCTGAGACATAAAAAATAGACTGGAGTTGTGCAGATGGAGGAAGGTAGAGGATGGAGGGAGCAGAGTTATTGGTGGAAGAAGTCCTCGTGGCCTTTAAGCCTTGAGATGGGAAGGAGATTTGTGCTGTCAAGGAGAGAAAGAAGATCAGTGTGGCTAGAGCATGATGAAGGGAAAAAGCATCAGAGTGAACTCAGAAAACCAGTTAGAAGGCCACTGCGATAGTGCGGAAGAGAGGAGGTTGGATTGGACTCCAGTGGTGGCAGGGGGGGATGGAGAGAAGTCCATGAGAATAGAGGGTCATTCTCTTCCCATGCTCCACAAACCCATCTTTCTCAAGCTCCAACACAGACCCTATGTCCAACTGTCTACAGGGACCATGCCAAAAATGTCCCCTCAGTTTCAACACATCTAGGACAAAACCCAACTCCTTCAATTATTCTGCTCCCTCCCATGGTGGCTCATGGTGGAGGCAGCACCCTCCAGCCAACCACACAAGCCAGAAACACTGTGCCAGCCCTGACTCATTCCCTCACCTCTAGGCGACAGCCACATTCTAGGGATTCTACTTCCTGGACAGACCCATTCATTCATCAATTGGCAAATATTTATTGAATGACTATTTATTACATAATAGGAACCAGGACTACAGTAGTGCACCAGACAGTCAAAATTTCTTCCCTCAACAAGAGCCTTATGAGGTGAACTGACAAGTAAATGAGTAGATGGAGGAGTGTGGTGATGAGGATGAGAAATGCCAAGTGACAAGTTTGAGGGAAGAGTATTCCACTAACCTCTTCTTTCCAAGAAACAAGAAACAGGAACATATCATTAAATATCAGGCATGCATACCAGTCAGGATGCTTTTGGCTGCCAGCAACAGAATACCTGACAAAAAGTGGTTTAAACAGCATCCTAAAAGTAGGAAGTTCTGTTCCAAGTTCGATGTAGCTGTTCAACAATGTCATCAAGGATGTGACCTCTTTCCACCCATCAGCATCCTCAGATGGCTTCACTTTCATCCTCAGGTTTGTTAGCTCATGGTTCCAAAACAGCTGCCTTATTTGCAAACATCACAACCACATCAGGAAGAAGGAGGAAACCAGAGCTTCAAGAGAGTCATTCTCTCACGTTTCTCTCTTCTTATCAGGGAGAAAAATCTTTCCCAGAAGCTCTCCAAAAATACTTTCCCTGGGACTTCTCTGGTGGCGCAGTGGTTAAGAATCCGCCTGCCAATGCAGGGGATACAGGTTTGATCCCTGGTCCAGGAAGATCCCACATGCCGTGGAGCAACTAAGCCCATGCACCACAACTACTGAGCCTGCACTCTAGAGCCCATGAGCTACCTCCTGGAGAGCCCCCATTCAGGGGGCAACTACTGAAGCCCACTCGCCTAGAGCCTGTGCTCCGCAACAAGAGAAGCCACCACAATAAGAAGCCCGCGCACCCACTCGCCACACGCAGCAACAAGAGCCCACGTGCAGCAACTAAGACCCAACGCAGCCAAAAATAAATAAAATAAAATAAAATAGTTTATTAAAAAAATAAAAGTACTTTCCCTTGAGTCCTTTTGGCAGAACTGGGTCGTATGGCCATTCCTGGCTACAAAGGAGTCTGGGAAAGCATCTATCTGGCACACTTCTATTATTTGCAGGACACTTGTTATTGCAAGTGAGCTCTGCCATATTGCAGCAAAAGCAAGAGGAATGGCTACTGGACAGGTGCCAACATGCCTGCCTCAGTGGTATATGGTACCACTATACAGCATACAGTACCTTTGTGCCCAGACCACACTGGAGAGAGGCCATGGTGACAGACAAGACTGTCTATTTTGGGATTCACAAAGATTTGGACAGACACCTAAACTATTACCTTTTACACAGTGATACTTTGTTGAATACTTACTGAAATATTCCCACAGTACTTTAGATACCCCAGCCTCACAAGGTTTTATAGCCTCTGACTAATAGGATTCTAAACAAAGGGTGAGACAACCAGTGATAACGATCAAAGCAAGGAAACTTAGGGTCCATTCATGTTCTAATCAGCCCTCTTAATCCAACAGTTGAATCCTGTAAATCATTCCACGTTGGAAGGC